AATCCGGAGTTTCAACGAACTTTCCTTAGTTTTCACTAAGGAGTATTCATCTAACCGCTCAATCAAAAAGACATCCGATCATCTTTTCAACATAGTAAAATGTCATTGGGAGACAATTGCGACTATGTCAAGACGTTCAAAATAGGTATTTATTCAAAAGTGCACAAAATAGATATTTATTCAAAACCTATTTCATCCATCCTCATCAAATCTTCTCCACAAGGTAACCCCCAAATCATTCCTTTCTAATTATATTAATTAGCTAATTAATTGATTTATTGCCCAATTAATTTATTAATTAGCTAACAAATTATGAATCACACCCAAAAAACCATCTAAGTGGCCAGTCCCCATCCTCCCAAAGGGACCAGCCATACCCCTATAAATACTACCTCACTTTCTCTAAAACTCAATTCCAACTCTTTTGCAAAATTCTCCAAATTTCTCTAAACACTTTTCCCTCAAATTCTAACTTTGGCATCGAAAGTTCTTCGGCCAAAGCCCCTCCCCCCAAAAAATTCATCGTGGGCGAGTGAGGCTCTTGGCCTTGACCTAAGGTGTTAATTGTTTTGTAGGTGCATTTTCATCCAAGAAGAAGGAGGCGAAAATTTGCATCCACAGTATAGTCAAAGTTGCTCAAGAGACATAGCTTGACATCAAACAACTGATTGCTTTCTCAGGATCAAGTTCTTTAAACATATTTTGCATTGCAGACTTAGGCTTTGCCACTAGACTCCGATACATTTCTCGAATTCCAGATCATACTGGAAGCCGTGGAACTCCAACTTCAATCCCAATTGGGATGTTAAAGTTGTTGAAGATGCTGTAATACGGCAACGCTTCAGGTTCTTTAAACATATTTTGCATTGCAGACTTAGGCTTCGCCACTAGACTCCGATACATTTCTCGAATTCCAGATCATACTGGAAGCCGTGGAACACCAACTTCAATCCGAATTAGGATGTTAAAGTTGTTGAAGATGCTGTAATGCAGCAACGCTTCAGGTTCTTTAAACATATTTTGCATTGCAGACTTAGGCTTCGCCACTAGACTCCGATACATTTCTCGAATTCCAGATCATACTGGAAGCTGTGGAACTCCAACTTCAATCCGAATTAGGATGTTAAAGTTGTTGAAAATGCTGTAATGCAACAACGCTTCATGGAATTGCACTACCAGTAACTTGGCTTAACGGACCCGTTAGTGATAGAATTGTCAAATTCATTTACCTTGCAAAAACTTAACCTCTACTATAACTATCTGAATGGCACACGCTCTACAAATAATGGAAAGCTTTCCAAATTTATGCTTGAAGAAAACATGGAGACATGCATATTAATTTTCAATTTCTAGACAATAGCTGTGACATCCCACATCGCCCAGGGGAGTGATCCTTAAATGTATATTCTCATCCCTACCTAGCACGAGGCCTTTTGGGAGCTCATTGGCTTCGGGTTTCGTAGGAACTCCGAAAGTTAAGCGAGAAGGGGGCTAGAGCAATCCCATGATGGGTGGCCCACTGGGAAGTTGCTCGTGAGTTCCCAAAAACAAAACCGTGAGGGAATGGTAAGCCCAAAGCGGACAATATCGTGCTACGGTGGTGGAGCGGGCCCGGGAAGTGATCCCTCCTGGGCCGAGATGTGACAATTGGTATCAGAGCCTAACCCTGGCTTCGTGTGTGCCGACGAGGACGTCGAGCCCCTAAAGGGGGTGGATTGTGACATCCCACATCGCCCAGGGGAGTGATCCTAAATGTATATTCTCATCCCTACCTAGCACGAGGCCTTTTGGGAGCTCACTGGCTTCGGGTTTCGTAGGAACTCCGAAGTTAAGCGAGAAGGGGGCTAGAGCAATCCCATGATGGGTGACCTACTGGGAAGTTACTCGTGAGTTCCCAAAAACAAAACCGTGAGGGAATGGTAAGCCCAAAGCAGACAATATCGTGCTACGGTGGTGGAGCAGGCCCGGGAAGTGATCCCTCCTTGGGTGGGATGTGATAATAGCGAAGCCAAGAATTATTTGGTGGGTGGGCTAAGCTAGAATTATTACTACGAAATCAAATGCTTAATTTTTTTTATTTTTTTATTACCAACATAAAGTTGTATACTAATAAACCTAAAAGTAATATTTTCAAGTAAAGAAATTAAAACTCTGCATAACTCAAGTTTCAACTAGATATAACAAAGAAATAATTTAAATTTGCAATTTGTAATAAAAAAAAACAAAAAAAAACATATATCATCAATCTTATTCAAGTTAACAAATAAAAAGAAGAAAAAGTACATATTCAAGTTGTGCCCTTTGATCCTTAACTCCCTTAATATAATTGAAATCATTTGTTATTTCATCTAAATCAACATTTTCGGCAAGCTTTTTTTTAATGTAGACAACTATTGTATTTGCTATAAACTCACACTCTATCTTGTTACGAAATCTTGTTTTAATAAGATCCATTTCTAAAAAAGCTCATTTAGTACTTGCTGTAGAAACGGAGAAAGTCAATACAAGCCAAATTGACCTATCAATCAAATAATACCTTTAGGACCTCTTTAATAGATGCAAAATGTGTATTACTCTCTAATTTATCATCATTATCTCATTTTCTAAAAAATAAATTGATAGGTGTAACTTCTAAACCTCTTCATTAGACAAACGTTGGACCTAACAAATTAAACAATAATAACACAATTGTATATGATAAATTATATCTAACAAATTTCGAGTACGAATTTTTTAAATTCAAACAATAAAAAAATAAACAAAATAAAAAATTAATAACAAAGTGGTAAAAAAAACTTTACAATTGATGAGAAAATCAGTAGACTTTCACGCGTGCAGACTTCAGAGCTACCGTGTCTTCGAAACAGCCGAAAAGCGTGCTAGGACACGTGTAAGTAGTTGTGAAAATGAATAAAACAATAAAATAATGAAAACTAATAACTACATACTCCTAGAAAATCTAAAACCGTTTGGATTTGAATACAATAAAATATTAAAATATTAAAAGTTGATCATTTATTTCTAGAATCTAAGAATCGTATGGACTTTGAATTGATTAAAATAATTTTAATAATTATATTTTATTCTTTAACATACTTGTGTGTGTACATATTGGGTGATTATAACAATTTAAAAAAAAAAAAAAAAAAACCCCAAACAATTAATATCTTTAAGCTTAAAAAACTAAAACTCTTCCTATGCCAGAGCCTATCTTAGCCTTGTTAAAAGCTCCGTCGTTGTTCCTGGAATCAATGTTTATGATCAGGATGCCAATGAGGGTTAATTGAGTTGATAATGATCGTTTCTCTTCGCTAGATCAAGCATAGGTTCGAGTTCTGCTCTTTTTGTCCTGTGATTTGTAAAAACCAAACAAGGGACTAAGACTCCATCTATAAATCCTCAAAAGAGAGTTGTGGTATGCCTGCCCTTGGAATGAGGTAGCCTCCCCTGCTCCTGAACTTTTTGAAATCAAAATATGTATGACCAGGATGAATAGAAGGTTTAGGATCTAGATTGTACTTTATTGGCACGTTTGATACACAAGATTGATTTGGCTCGGACTAACTGTAGGTAATTACTTGAATTGATTTGGTTTGGACTTGGGCTTGTCCCATGTTTGGTTTAACTTTGGATTAGGAGGATAGTGCCAACTAAGTCATATCGAGAACGTCAGTCCCAAAATACAGAGAAACATCAATCTATCAACTCCACCAACTCAAATTCAAACTCGAATGGAACCGAAAGAAATCTCAGAAGAAAAATACAAGCAGCATCAGTCCATAGACGGAGAAGTGGCAGGAGAGTATAGACGCTAAACCACCTGAGAATATAGACGCTAAACCATGTTTGGTCCAGCCTGCTATTGGTGTTACACAGCACACACCAATCCCATTCCAAGTCCGGTCAATCAAACACATCCTAATTTGGTAAATTGAAACTAAACCACGTATATGGACGAGGCATCGTATAATCTCTTTCAACCTTGGCAATTACTAGATACATCACAATCGAACGCATACGAGTATACAACAAATTCGAATCAAACTAAAACAAAGAAAACTTCGCTCATTTCCGCCTTCTGTGTCTTCAATATAGCAATCCACCTCAACCTGAATGAATAGAACAATCGAAGGCATACGAGTATACAACAAATTCGAATAAAAGTCGTAACGTCACTTACTGAAACTCTGTATATATACACTCTACAAAAACCATAAAGAAATTAAACAAATAAAAAAAAGTACAAGAACATAAACAAATCCAAACCTAAAACTGACCGCAATTCTCTGCTTGCCTAGCTGCCCATGTCTCAACTCCCAAGCCAAAACACAAAATCTGCATCTTTCCCTTCCGATAACGCATCCACTTTTATTAGCGTCTATACCCATCTATGAAAATGTGGGACTGAATGCAATAACTTTCCAGAAACTTCACTGGAAAATTGAAATATATGTGTAACATGTACTTTACTCACTCAATGGAGATGAAAACGATAAGGAAATCTAAAAGGAGCGATCTATTATTTAACATAACATTTAGTTGTCCCCCTACCCTGTTCTGGAAGATCAGTAGTTGAATCTATCACTTTCTAAAGCCAATACAAATACAAGTCATTAATATAAAAGAAAATTCTCTTACAAATGTTGATATATGTGGTAACAAATCATATCCGTCCTTCGGCATTGCAAAAGCAATATCAAATAGTAAAAACTTTGTAATGTATTTTCAATCGAGCAAAGCCAAAAAAAGTCAGATTACATGGAACTTGAAAAGCAGAAGCATTTTGTTTATGGTATGAATTTATCCGATATTAAACTGTATAGATAGTATTACACTACTAAAGGGGTAAACTCAAATGCAATGACATCAATGTATCGAACCATAAGGTTTATACGATCAACTACTTAAAAAATAATCTAGGAAAGAGTTATGGGCCTATGGCGATTCTCTTCTCATCAAGTAGACCTGGTAATTCATATATGCAAAGAGAATCGTACAAATGCACAACCATAAAATTTTATAAAATTGCTAGCATCCTGCAACTACAGAGCAATACACTTATACTCTCTTGAGAGCCCCGTTTCCGAAAATCAAGAGACACCAATGCATAATTCGCAATCTTACAACTTGGAAACTGTGAAATGAACTGCATACTCTAATCAACAAGCATTGGTTCTGAGCCCCCAGTTGCACCCTCCATTCCATTTTTCTGCTCTTTCTCCTCAATTAAACTCCTCTGCTCTTCCTCTATGGTATTCTGCAACTCATCCACCTGCCAAAACATACAACAAAACCCGATAATTACAATACTTTCACAGAGGGTTCTACTACTTAATGCATACAGCATATAACCCAAAATTAGGGAATTCAATATAGCTCACATACCACATGCAGGAGCAGAGCAAACTGCTTCTTCCTCAGCTCCAGCGTCCGCGAACTCGCGGTGTTCTCCGCATCCAATGCCGCAATCTCCTTCTCCAAATCTGATATGATCTTGAGCGTCTCCGACCGCGGCGGCTGCGTAGCAATCAATTTCCTGATCGACTCACACTCCTCCTTGTGCCTTCTTTCGATCTTACTCTCCTCGAGCTGCTTCTTGAGCATCTCAATGTCGGTCTTCGCCTGCACAATCTGCCGGTTAATCTCCTCCCTCAGCTCGTCAAAATTGTGCTTCTCCCGGAGATTCGCATCCACGACGGCTTTGCTCTTGAGGAGCGGAATCTCGAACGTGTTGAGCTCCTGGAGGAAAGCCTTGGCGAGCTTGTCGCAGTCGGCGAAGTTGTCATCGTTCTTGTCGAGCTCGACGAACAGGGACGTGAACTTCTTCTGGAGCTTCTTCAATGGCGGTTCGCCTCTCGTGGTGGTGGTCCGAGTGAGAAGTCTGTGTTTGATGATGACGTCATCTTCGAGTGGCCCGAACGCGTAGTTCGCCGCCACGGCCTCTCCTCGCCCTGAAACTTTTCTTCCTTTCGGCAGCATCGGAACTGACCGGAGATTTTGAGTCCGGCGGAAATTCGATTTCGAATTTGACAAACCCTAATTTAATGTCCAGAAAGAGAAACCCCGTCCACAGCGGAGGATTCAGCTTCTGTTTGTGGAATCCAACGGCAAAGTGAGATGTTTGTGGTGTTTGCTCGAGGTTGATTGGACGGTCAGATGTGCTTCACGGGAGACCACTGCTACACCGGATCTGGAATGTTCAAATTTGGGCATTTTGTCAATTGGGCTTTTATATAATGGAACAAATCACGATTCACACGTAAGGTGAAAGGGATGTGATATCTACATTATTATATATATTTTTAATTTAAATTGAAAAAAATTAAATGATACAAATTAACAAAGAGATGTGTAGAACCCAAAGCAAAATTATAAGATTATATTTTAAATGGCGATAAAATTTTGATTTTAAGAAGAGATGAAATATATTTATGTGGTACGTGACGATATAGCTATTTTCAATTATTTTTTTTTATTTTTGGACAAGAAAAATTATTTTTTATTTATTTATAATTTATATTTTTATATGAGAAATGAATTTGTATCTTATTATTCATAGAGTTTTTTTCTTTCTATCTTTTTGTCGAAAAAGAGTTTTTTCTTTATCTCTTCCTTCTTCGTTGTTTTCTTTTTCTCTCTTTCTATCTCTTCCCCTCACACAACCATCACAAAAAGTGAAGTCTTTATATTTCTGTCTCTTTTCTCTTTTTCTCTCTCCTCCATTTGTTAAGCTTTTTTTTTTTTTTTTTTTTTATTTTTGTATTTTTGGAGAAAGAGTGATTTGAATTGGATGGTGAGAGAAATAATACAAAAGTATGTATGCAAAATGTCTATTTAATTTTTCAAGTGGGCGTTGTTTTACTTTCCATTTTATTATACTAATAGAGTTTGCAAAACCTATTCTACAAATAGTTACAAATAGTTAAAACGACATTTTTTTAAAGTATACAAACTAATTTTACTAATAAAGTGAGCTAAATGGAGGAGAACTTTGATAGGGTTACTATTTTCATAGCAGAAGCTTTGGCCTTAAGGGAAGGTTTAAAATACGTCACACAGAAAGGATTAACAGAGTATTGTGGAGGGCGATTCTTGGTTGGTCATTCAAGCAATCCAAGGACGGTGTGGTGTGCCCTGGAATCTTTCATCCATCATTGATGATATCATGTGACTGGTTACTCAATTTGAAACTATCAAGTGGAACCAAATTTTGTTGTTGATGCTTTTGCTCATCATGGTCTCATTGTCTCTAATATTCAGATTTGGGAGCATTGTGTTCCAAATTTTGCTAGGGCTACTTGTTTGTTTGATAGTATTGGCAACAGTTGTATTCATGGTTTCTCAATTGAAAGAAACCTTTCTTCATAAAAAAAATTAATAAACCAGGCTAAATTTTTTTTTTCGTGGTCTCCATGGTGACACTGAACTTGCAATGTCACCTTTATGGTGAAAAAGTTGTTATTTAAACTCTTGTGGTGAGACCCATTAGCAACTGGTATGTAAACCTAAATTTTAGTTAGTCTTTCATTCAATGAACATACGTAAATCTCACGTGAAGAGGTTAAAGTATATGCATCATAATTCATCTAATCAAAGAAGAATAAAAATATATTGAGATTAATCAATGAAATAGGGAATCATGTTTGTGTTCAAAGGGAAGCTTGAAATTTCACGCTTATCACTCTTGTCTCTATTTCATCTCTCTCATTGTAACATGATAGAACATCTGTAATGATCCAAAAATTAATTTGGAAGCTAATTGCAGCAGTAGGCCAAGAATAAGTCATGGTTAATCTTCATGCTATTAACCAAAATAAATTTCTTTTCTTAACAATTATTCACTCAGATTTAATTTTGGTTATTTTATGGTTGCATCTAACTTCCTTGGTAGACTGCCTACGTACCCTTAAACGAGATCAAGTCATTCGTAGTTCACCGTCACATACATTTACTGATAGTATTCAAGTGGCTAATACATTTAATACTAGATTCAAATGATCGAATCACATCAAACAAATATCAAATATAATTTCAGAATATTGAAATTAACTTAAAAAGGCAAAGTCGGCCCATTGGCCATACGTCGCCACAGGCGGTAGTTTTCGACGAATGGAAACCCAATTTTTCAACTACATTAAAAAACTACCAAATTTTACAGGCATATAGAGCTCAATGAGAGAACCATTTTTCATACCTGGGCTGAAAATCCAATTCATCGGGAAACACCTAAAATTGCCCTCAATCTGTTCGAAACCTTAAAAATGGATGTTTTTTATTGATTCAAACCGAACTCCGACGCTTCAACCAGTGCATGGGCCTTGTTCTTGACGTTGAAGGGAGTATATTGGTGGTGGTGTTCATCGAGATTGGATTCAGGAATGGCGGATTGCTGCCATGGATCCCTCTGCGCCACCGATGTCGTTCTTCGCAAAATTGGAGCCAAAACCCAACGAGTTGTAGTGTAAATAAAGGAGGGAGGATCGTGGAGTTGGTTATAGGTGGTGGTTCGACATATATTTGCCAGAAAAATGCCAAAATCGACTTCGGGGTGTGTGGGAAATCGGATTGGGAAACTGGGTTGCTGGGTAAAAAAGGATTCGATGCTTCCCCCTCTCTCCTTTCCCTCATTTCTTTCCCCTCTCATTGGGCAGACACTCCTTCCTTTCCCTCATTTATCCTTTTCTCTTTCAATCCTAGCCACACACATGGCACATAGATCACTGCTCCAACAAAGCTGGAGCCTTCTAGATTAATGTCATTTTGCCCTTACCTTTGCTCGTGTATATCTCCTTCGTTATAACTCCATTTCACAAATAGTTCTCGCCTACATGCTCACGGGATCAAGCTGTATCCAAATATGCTAAGAAATACAACGAAGCATATAAGAATAAAATACATCCTCGTATAATTTTGATTTAGCCAACTAAGGGCATTTTTATCTTTTTCACAGATCGAAAAATTATTTGCTGTAAATATAAATGTGTCGTAACTACACATACAAAAAGGAAATATAACATCCAAGAATGAGATTTCACATTTCCCCCACTTGAATTTCATAACCATATCACATAATTAAATATAATTAGGGTATTACAAATCATCCTATATTCCTAAACAATCTCATTCACACGCACCATGTCGAGGAGTCATAAAGTAGTCACTACAGTAGGTAGCAAACAAGCAAACATTATCTTTTTTCAAGCCTCTTAGATTTCGTCAAATCCCAGAACCATTTCATCCCAACTCTAGGCAATTTGACCTTACACTAGAGGCTCACATGATTTCTTTTAACGAAAGTTTGAACGATGACTGTGATTAGTAATTACTAACGAGGCTCACCACAAGTCTTTAATTGACAAGTTTTCAACCATGAATGTCATATTGAAAATGCAATATCACCACAGGGACTAAACCCTAAGCCCTACAATTATTCACGCACTATTATTCACACGCTCCTAAACTCTAAACCCTAAGCGTCATGGGCTTCCACTGCTTTTGGAGCACCTTGCGCCTTCTTGAAAACATGAGTTTAGGTTATGGCTAGGCCTAAGCTTGCTAGGCTTGGGCTGTTGATGCGTCTCTCTGCTTCTAAACCATCAATTTTATTAATTTTACGTTTTTTTTTTTTTTTTTTTTTGTTAAAATTTTCTTTTTTCCCTTACTATAACACCATACTATCATCTTTATGTTCTATAACATGTATTTTTCGGTGAAAATTTCTTATAATCCATGTCACTTGAAAAGGGTACGATCGGTACTTTGCTATCAATTGTCCACGCAATAAGTCGCAGAGAGATAGCGGCAATTTTTTTTTTATACCAATAGCTAGCATCATACCGATCCCCCTTTTCAATTTTTTTTTCCTTTTTAGTTTTTTGTTGTTAATTTTTCTTTTATATTTCTTACCATAACAATAAACTATGATATTCATATTCTTCAAATTATATTTTCCGTGCAAAATCTATTATAATTCATATTTAAACACTAGAAATCAACGATTTAAAACATAAATTTAAAAATATTTGAATTTAGTAGTGGTTACTCAAATAAAGTAACGTATGAAGAAAAAACTCGAAGAAAAAAAAACAAATAAATAAATTGGAATAGAGAAAAATCAGTACTATGCTACCGATCTTCGCCTAGTCGTCCAGGGCGACACTAAGGTGGTGGGGAGCATCAACTACCGGCTTGTCATTTCCATCAAGAGCGAGTCGGTGGTAGATGCCGCTGCTATCATTGCCGCTAATGATTATGAGGGCATTGTGTGGGAGAAGGATTAAGAGCACTTTAGAAATTTGAGCTCATTTGATCAATTGTAAAAAACTAATCATTTTTGTGGAGATAATGATTGTATTTTAATTTTTGTCCTTAAAGATGCTTTAATGTACTACGGATTGCTTGCAATTATCACCATCTTTCATTATAATAAAGAAATTAAGTGAAGAGTTGACGTTTAATTCTTAATTTTCTTAATTTTTTATGGGTTCAGTTATTATCTTTTTATCGAGTATGGTCAAATTTCTTACTGAATGTATATGTGAGAATTCCCAACCAAATGTAGAAAATAAATATTTTTAGCAAATAATTCAATAGGGAAAACAATTCACGGAATTGCCTTGGTCACCTAAATTTAGAAATGGTTTATTGAAAAAATAAATAAATGAACTCCCTAAAATGTTACACAAAAAAAAAAAAAAAAAAAAGGGGAAAAAGAAAAACTCATTCATAATCGAGTGAAGAAACTTAAACAAAATCACGGTTAACCATCATAAAGAATTAGCGTAAAGCTTAATCTCATACCACATGTTAGATTGTTAGAGGCGTAATTGCCTTCACATTAGAATAAGTCCACCCATTTTAGAAGGCCAAGGGCAATAAGAACATTCTCGAGACGGTGTCAAATATGCGGGGACCCTCACCTGGTCAATGACGTCAAACATTCTTGCGACTATGAGAAAGGTTTGCAGCAATGTGCCGAAGCATAAGGAGACAAAGTACCCACTGAAGCGGATTTGTGGTGGGCTTTTGAAATCTAGAAGTTGTGTTGTGTTCTCATGGTTAGTGAAGGAGGGCCAAAGTAGAAGACGAGAAGAAGAGCGCTCTTGAAGTCCAAAAGCTAGGCAGGGCGGGTCTAGGCAAAGATCTATGGCGACTAGGCGGATTTAATTAAGTATATTACATAACATCTAAATAGCTGCATACTTACAATTGATAAAAAAGGATGAGAGAAATAATATGGGTTTATTTTGGGTAGGTAACTTAGAAAACTCTTTACTTGATTACAAAAAATTAAAAATAAAACATTGGAATCCTAAACGCTGAACTGCCTAGGCGGCTTAGCCTGCCTAGTCCACCTAGCCCATACCTAATTTTTCTCTACGTTTTGCTCAAACCCCACTAGTCCTACACTGCCAAACGCCTAGGCACCACCGATTTTAAGAATAGTGTTATTGAAGAGGCTCAATATTTTCATTTTGGTAAAATTTTCTTATTTTTTGCTAAAACTTCTTATTAATTGTTGTGACCAATTTACTGAAGTAAGAAACCAGCTCTCCAAGTAAAACAAAATGTAATAGGAAAAAATCACTATATTAAATATGAATCCTAAACCAAACCTACTAAAAAGTTACACAATCACTCAATATCAAATATTAATTATAACATTAACAATTTAGTTTTGCCAAAAACTTATTATTAACCATTTATTTTTGCATAAACAGTTAGTCTATTGTGTAAACAATTTATTTTTCCAGTATATGTTTAGGCTTTATTGTATAAACAATTTATTCGTTTTCTAATTAGATGTTTTGGGGTTTTTTTTTTTTTTTTTTTGAAAAAGGGTGCGAGATTTATTACTAATAAACAATAAAGTTCAAGAGGTCCAAAACAAGTAAAACACAACCAAAAACAAAAGGACCCAAAGATACACAACGTAGGACCCAACACACGAGTTGGAGCCCAAAAACTAACACAGCACAAACAAAGCACCCTAGCCTTCTACATATGCCGCCATCGCCTTCATAGAGCATCATCGCCAGTGCAAACCAACGCCCATACCACCGTCAAGCATCCACCTCCCAAAAACGAAGAAGAATGTGGCTCCAACAACCTGCCACAACCCTTGTGCCGATCGCAAATGGAATGCGAAAGAAGCTAGTGGAGAACCCACCGACAACAGTGCCAATGAAGGCAAGCAAATAGAAGGTGGTGGTGTGTACACTCGAGTAAAAACTTTATGCACCTTCCAAAGAAACCACAGCCAAGTGCTGTGAAGGATAGATGAAAAAACAGAGTGAGAAGGATAGATGAGAACCATGGAAGTGGAAGGAGAACAGAGGTGAGAGTAGATCAAAAGTGGAGAAAGGGTGGAAGAGCAAGGCGGAAAGGAAAAGTAGGCAGTGAAAAATTGAAGTAGAAAGAAACGAAAAAGCAAAAGGAAAAAAGCAAAGGACTGCCACCGACCCTTGCCGGAGCTCGGGCAGGCGGCGGGGAAGAAAAAGCAACGGTGAAAAAACTCACACACAGAGGTGAGAAAGACTCTCAAGAGAGAGAGAACGACTCTCAAAGAGAGAGAGAGAGAGAACCTTATGTCTAGCTCCGTTTAGTGTTAATTAGATGTTTTGGGTTTAGTAAGGGTATGAACTGAAATTTTGAAATGTTGAATTCTGTATATTTGAGCTAAAATTGTCCATTTATTTATTTATTCCATTTTGCTAATAATTAAATAATTGTCATCTTTTTAGGTAAGGATTATTGTTGCATGGTCTTCTCAAATAGTTTATAATATAAGTTCTAAATTTATCTTCAAGTTTTGTTCAGGAAAAAAAAAAAATTATCTTCAAGAAATGGAAAGTTTGCCCCAATAAGTATTTATACTCTAATTTAGTAGGATTTTTGCAAGAAGGGGAAGATATTAAACTCAAATCACTTATGGAAAGAAGTTTGGAATTTATTAAGAGCAATTTTGCAAGAATGGAAAGCTATTCAACTAAAATCCCTTATGGAAATGAGTTTGGAACTTATAGAGGGTAATTATGCAAAAATGGAAAACTATTAAACTCAATTCGGCAATTCCCTTACGGAAATGCATACCTACACTTGGATGCACTTTCCTTAAATGGAAGAAATATTTAGTTTACTCCCCAATTTTCACTCTATTTTACATTTGATCCCCCAACCAAAACTTTATTAATAAAAATCCCTGAATTTAATAAAAAGTGCAACATTGGTCCTTGTGAACATTGATTTGAAAAACCACCCAGTTGATCTTGGATTTACTTTTAGAGGATAACTCTTGTGCTCAGTTTAGTGTATGACGGTTTTTTTTTTTTTTTTTCTCTCTAAACCACCCAATTGATCTTGGGTTGAAGGTCTTGACAACATTTTTTTACTAAGACACACCCCTTGTATTATGTCCTCCTGTGCGGCGTCTCATTTCATCGATGAGTATAACACATTTCTCTTAAAAAAAAAGTTCAACTTACCGCTCAACAAATAGTGTTAATTAAAGGATAAATTTTTTTTTTTTGTTGGATTAGTTACAATTATGGATTGCTCACTCCACGTGCTAGCTTTTCGTTGGACTCAAATGTTAGTATATATCACAACAAATATTGAATACGTGGACGTAGCCACATTTACTATAACATATATAGTTTTTTTGCGCCTGAATTCCCTTTTTCATACAGATTAAATTAGTTTAAAGTAGAATGTCATTAGTATAATTATCGAAAAAATACTCCTTGCCAAATGAGAGTAATTTTTGGTTCGTTTAGATGTGCTTTTAGAGAAATGTTTTTGGATTCAAAAGCACTTAAAATGTTTTTTTTTTTTTTCAAGAAGTATCAATTATGTGTTTTTTTTCAGGAAGAACTTTAAGTGATTTTTTAAGATTTACTTGCATTTTTACTAAAAATTAGTTTTTAAAATATTTTTATCGAAAATGCTTTCAGTAATTTTAAAAGCAGATACAAACAAACTATTTATCATTAGGAATAATAATAGTATGGTAGGTGCTATTTGCTAAAGTTGATAATAATAGTATGGTAGGTGCTATTTGCTAAAGTTCAACAACCTTTGTTGGACAAAAAAAAGTACAAGAATATTTGCAGTTGAAGGACACAACTTCAACTTCTTTCTCAAATAACACCCTTTCATCGTATATGTACGATATAAATAGGACTGAAATGTCCCCTTCCTCTCCACTCACGGCTCAGCAGCTGCTTCTTCAAGTCATACCTGCTTACCCAGTTCCCAAGACCAAAACCAAAAGCGCTTCTCTCTCTCTCACTCTCTCTCTCTCCCCGTTGCTTTCGACAACCTAACTCTTGTCAATAAACATTAAACACCTGACCACCAGGCGTCACCGCTATCAATCACCGCCCTCCACAGCCACTCACCACCACCAACGGAAAAAAAAAAAAAAAAAACAGACGGAAAGACAAAAAAATGGATTCCAACAACGTCAACAACAACTTCGGCGCTGCTGCCAGACCCTTCCCGACATTCAATGACATGGAGCAGATGTCGGAGACCCCTCAGCGCGGGTCCCACCACCGCCGGGCTCACTCCGACACATCCTTCCGCACCCCCAACTTCGACGACCTCCTCCTCTTCGACCCTTCCGACCTCGACCTCTCCTGCCTCGCCTCCCCCAACCTCCCGCCACGTGGCAGCGACAGCGACAACATCGCCATGTTTCTCGAGTCCGACGACTCCTCGGGGGGCCAACCACCCAACCCCTTCTCCTCCACCCCAAGCCCACCGCTTCCTCCGGCTCCACCGCCACCGCTGCCCACCTCCGGAGCCTCTCCGTCGATTCTGACTTTTTCGACGGCCTGGGCCTGCGGTGATTCCGGCAGGGAAGTGACTGGGGGGCAGAGGTCTCGATCCCACAGGCACAGCATCTCGATGGACGGCTCGTCTATTGAGGCGGACTCGTCGGTGATCACCCTGAACAGCTTCAAGAAGTCCATAGCTCCTGAGAGACTTGCTGAGCTATCTCTGACTGACCCTAAGAGAGCTAAAAGGTTGCTCCTTTTCTTCTCTACTGGTGTTTTTTTTTAGAGGTTTTTTCTTCTGCAAATTTCGATCAAATTGTTTGCAATCGAATTAATGTAATTAAACTGAGGGGAATTACATCTTATTTGATATGGAAAATGGGATTTTTTTGCTTAAGTTTTGTGAAATATTTTGGTCTCTCTTAGTCTTAACATAGTTTTGTGGTTGAAGTTTGTGTTAGGATAGAAAGATTTACGTTTTTTTATTTGTTTTTTTTTTTGCGTGTTTTTATATTTTGGGTTATCTTTGTGGATATTATTTGATTGAATGAGAAATTGAGGGTTGTTTTTTAATTTTTAATTTTGTGGTTTTGTAGGATTTTAGCTAATAGGCAATCAGCTGCGAGGTCGAAGGAGAGGAAGGTGAAGTATGCGAATGAGCTGGAGAGGAAGGTGCAGACTCTTCAGACCGAGGCGACCACGCTCTCAGCCCAGGTCACCCTTTTACAGGTATATTACCTAAGACCTTGACTTTTGTAGCTTTGTAGAATTAGAAGTATCATTTGGGCTAGATTTTTCGGTATACATGCTAAACCAATGGAACCCGCAACTTGGCTTGTTAGGATGTTTCATGCATTTTCATTACAAATATGGTATTCTCCACTTTGTGAGGATCGTCATGAAGTTATTTGTTTATTGATGTCCGTGGTTTGGTTTGAAAATTTTTGCCGTGATTTTTAATGATCCAGGATAGGAAAATGTGCCGTTATTGTGTTTAGAATGTACTTTATTTAAGTGATAGTTTAACATTGATTACAATCCTTATTTTGGTATGATTTTGAACTTCCATCAACAACCCAAGAAGGAAACGTACACTTACACAGTACACAACAATAATGTGTGTTGTTCGAGTTTCAGTGGTGATTATTCGCTTTTGTAAATCTACGTCGTTGCATGTTTCTGTGTAGTTAACTTTCCAAAATAAACCCTAAGTTTGACATGCTTAATCCTAACATGCAAAGTAACGTGTTTTTAATCATATGTTCATGGTATGAAGAATCATCTACAAAAACCATCGTTACATGCTAACTATTTGCGTAAGGCATTGCTGCGGTTTTCAATTTTTTTTGGGTTCTATCTCTTTTTGGGTGTCTGCATCTGATTACATTATATTTTGGTGTATCCAAAACAGATCCGGCTACATATTTAGAAGGATGTAAATGGGGACACATTATTAAGGGGGAAAAGGTGTTATAACCTACAACAAATACTGTACTTTAAAGTTTAAACCAGGATTCACTTTCTTGTTGAAGGTCGTTAAACATTTGGAGTGTGTATTTACCGTAAACCCGAGTTCTTGTGGTACATTAATCGAGTTGGGAATAAGTGCATTGGCCAATTTCTCCGTATGTCTTTTCGACTAGCGAGCTCTATCCAAGTCATATCCAGACCCAGCAGGCCTCTATATTAGACGATGCAGGCTTCCTTGGTAGTAGGTTTCTTAAACGATTCAAGCTTTAATATTAGAAAGTAGGTTCCAGGAACTTAAGAAACTTTGACGCCAATGACATGCTACTGAACCATGAATGCCGTAATAGATGCATACTAGTCAAGGAGAATTGAAGAGTCAAAAGTTACAATCAAACTTGAGCCCTCGTAGATGTCATTGTATGTTTTTCTTAATTTGTTTGATTAGGAAAAAAAAAACCAAACAAGTTTGCTGAGGGTCATTGTCTGATTTTGGACTCTTGCTTTTTGGCAGAGGTTAAAACCAAGATGTTTCTAAAGGGACTTTGTTGCGTGACCCTAGTTTTAACTTATAGTATATGTCCTTGCAACACACAGTAAGTTTGTATAGCACATAGTTCAGGGAATTCAGATGTCTCAGTTTAGGATTTTAGTCAGAGAATCAGATCTGATAACAATGTAATTTTTTTGCTTTTCCCTAAATATAGACGAAGGCTTTTAGTTTAACACTTCACATTATAATGGCATCCTTATCGGTCTATTTAGCAGGGAGAAAGGTTACTAACCAAGATGCCCAAATTCGACATTTTCTCGAATTATATATTCTTCAACAAATTACGCATTGTCACCATAGTTCCTGAAGGCGCAGTAATTGATATGCATGTTTCTGCAGTTGTCTAAATGATGGAATGTGTATCTGTTATTGCTTAATTTTCCATTGTATAACAGCTGGTACATCTTACGTTTTACATTGTCTCTACTATTTACATGTGCTGTATTCTTTTGTTATGGAAACTATTTATATTGACTTTGCAAACATTTCGGATGTGCCACATGACTGCATATTTCATGTCTCTGCCCTTTAGTAATTGGTTGGTTATTAAGGTTAGGTATTCAATGTTTCTAAAAATAGCCTCTTATTATATCCTACTTCCATCCCTTGTCAATTTTGTAAATAGTCATAACTGATTTAATTTCTTCACGAGCTTTAGTAGTTTGCCGGTACAACCTTAAAACCAGAGTTTATCATGTTGTGTATGTTGGTTGAATGTTGGAGTCGCCACAAAACTTAACTAGAAAGACAAATAAAGCAAAGGTTACAATCACAATGCAAAACATTCTCGTCATGCTTATACAACTTATCTATGGTGCAGAGAGACACTACTGTCATAACCGCTGAGAATAAGGAGCTCAAACTTCGCCTACAGGCTCTGGAGCAACAATCACAGCTTAGAGATGGTATGAGTTTATTTTCATACGTTTGTGCTAAATTTTAACCGTCTGTTCTTTTAAAATTATGTTATAGTTGCCGTTTGCTTTATGTTACGCCTACAGCCTTGAGTGAGAAACTTAAGGAGGAAGCGCAGCGGCTTAAGATTGAAGCCAACCAAATCCTACCCGGGGCTGGGAATGGAAACCCTTTCTACGGAGGGCTCCCCCCTCAGTATGGTCAGACCCAGCTCCACCAGAACCAGACCCAGCACCAGCAGAAGCATCACAACCAGGGCGTCGCCAGTGGGCAGGCTCACCCGAGCTACATGGACTTCAACGGGAGGGCATAGAAGCTCTCCAAGAAGTCATTAACCACAGTTTAGGTATTTCATAATGTTTTTCGAATTAGAGGAGGGTAGTGAATCTCATCAGATAGCTTCATGTACATACTACATACATACAGATCATGTATATGTATGTGGTACGGGACTAAAGGCTGTGAAGATTGCTGCTCACACCAGTACACACAGAACCCCACAGTTCCCTGTATCAGTTAATTTAAAACTATTCTAGCAGATTAGAATATCATTTTCGAGTCCAAATCTTACCGGTACACCTATTTACCGTCCTTGTGCTTGTCGAACAGCAACCTCTAGGGTTTGAACGGTTGGCTATGCAGCTGTCGTAACATCAAATATTGTGTTGGCCCCTTTTGCTAAGGAATGTCAATCTGTCTTCTTTCTGTTATGATTGATTCGGAAATTGTTGTTTAATGGTTTTGTTTTCTTCTCTCTTCTTTGGGTTTACATTTCCAATTTTCAAGCTTGTCACTGCTAGAGGTGCTTACAAGTGGCGACTCTTATCTCATTTTGTCGCCCCTTGAGAAAAAATTTCCCATACATGCGTGGCACAACGGGGTCCAAGGCAAGCGCATTATGACGTATAATTTGTTTGGATACTGCCACTGTCATATGCCGGGTCGGGATGGAACCAAAACACCTTGTGTATGGAGCGATTCTTCTCTTCGCCCGGTCGGACTGCGTCCAAGAGTGCGGTGGGATCGAAGGGTGGGGCGGATAGGCCATACGTGTAGGGAGGGTTTTGGGTTTGGTTGTATTGCTGATGGAGTCTTGGCAGCCGGTGATAAAATTGGGGTTCCACCATAAAACCAATTGACAATATAGAGAGTAACCCAATACCATATAAGCACATAGAAAACTTGCCCCCTCATCGATGTGGGACAACTCTCAGCAACCGGACCTGAAAATATGTTCTATGTACGAGAGATGCATTTTTGCTTACTACCCTCATGTGATGGTAGTGCTCACTATCCTATTTATTATCACTTGATGAGTATAGTGAGATTTGTGTCTATTCACTACACAGATCTCGAAATGACAAAAATCTCAAAATTTAAACTCGTCTAACGATGATAAATAGGATGGTGATCATCACTATCACTTGAGTGAAGTCTGAAAACTTAGAGGGTAATTTGTTGTGCCACAAGAAGGATAATAATTGGCGTGTCTTGTCAATGAATGAAATTATTTGTGTTAGTTGATGACTAAAGAATCATTTGAGTCATTATAATGTGTATTAAGTCCATTATATAAAGAAATATCACATGCAAGTTAGGTGCGCATGACATGTTCAACCCTTCTTCCATTGGATAGGTCCTATTTTATATTTCATTGACATAAATCCAATTATATAATTAAGTATGTTGTATTATGTACACATACTACTGGACAAGAAAACAATTATTATAACAAAAATCAAAGATAGAATAGTGTGTTATATCATATATATAGTAGTAGCTTATGTTCCTTTCTAACTGAGTTCTAGGTTTGACTTCTCCTTTTAAAATATTGTTTGTACAAAGTAAAATAAAGTAAGAAGTCATTGGTAAATTATCCTAGTGATTAGGGCATTTCTACTCAACTTACTGTATTTTAAGTCTAAACCCGCTATCATATCTTTAATGTAGATAGAATCTCGCTTGTACTAAAAAAAATATTGCACAATATATAGACACATTGAGTGGCAAATTTATGATTTGAACTTTGAGGGGTTTAATATTAAAGGTCCATGATTTTTAAATAGAAACATACAAAGTTCAGGTTTTATCCATGGAGGTAGTTCAACGAACACTTGGTAAGCTTATTGTCGTTTGCCGAATCATGATGTGCATATGTTAACGTTGGCTAAAGCAATATGATGAGTGCTATCAAGAGCATTTATTAAGTGTTGTCGAAGAAACTTGTCGAATGCATCCGAAATATGTCTACTAGGCATTACATTAAACAGTTGATGGGTACAAAAGAAATCTGTACCAAATATTCAAAGAATCACTGAAGACTTTCACATGTTTGTTTCTTGATTTCCGAGTAGTCTTGGAACTACCTTGATCCCAATACAAATCCGCCCTTGGACACAGTAAAACTTCTATAAATGAATACTCTAGAGACTAAGAAAAATATCATTTTAGAGAGATTATTACATCGATGAATGAATACTTTATTTGTTTATCGATATATGAATTCTTAATTTAAAAAGAATTTATTGTTTTGTTTATTTCTTATAATTATGGTTTGATATTAATTATTGTACATGTGCGATTATATAGATTTCTATTAGATTGTATTTAGGATATTAGAAGATTTAATCATTCAAGTTTACTATAAATAAAGGCACTAGCCATGAGGAATAATACATAAAATTCCTTAAGCTCTCCTCTATCCCTCTCTGCCGCTCTCTTTCTTAATAAAATAGGTCACACCACTCTTTCTCCCTTCAGTAAAATAGGTCGCACCACGTTATTAACACGCTCATGACACATGCTAAGGAACTTAAGGTTATTTTGCTACAAACCCATTCACAAGACTCACCATCCGCAATCCAAGTTCTTCTACAACTCAATCTAAATGTCGATATTTTTTTTTCAATCCAGTTGCATGAAACATTCACAATTGAGTATGAACCCTAATTTTCGTTTACAAAATTATATATCTTCTAAATTATTATTCGCATTTGTATTATTATATTGCTGTAATAATTGTGGTGAACTGAATCTGTGTGAATAAGCAAAGAAAAAAGAAGAAAATGAATTATATAAAACCATAGTCGCATGTTTAGCGACCTGCAGACGCCCCGAGCCACGGCCTGAAGCCATGTGAGCGACCAAGCCGAACATATGTCCAAACCCAGCAGAGATCAACAGAACATCATTTTGATGTCGTCCCTTCTTCGTCGATCTCTTCGTCTACTTCGATCTGCGACTACCTGAAGTCGTCCAAGGACGCATTGTAGCCACCTCGACGATTTGCAGGTCGTCCCCAATGACAACTATGTCGTATTTGAAGATGAAACCCGATATTATAGTCGAAATCTTGATGAGTTTTGTGAGATTCTAGTGAAATCTCGTTGATTTTGAATCCCTCTATCGCAACCCATGCATTGAATGAGATGCACGGGATCTCAAGATACCTTAGATGATTCGAGATCCTCTCTTTAAGCTCTAAGAGACGTATTTCTAGCATTCAGTGAGAGTCCTTGTGAAAACGGAACGTATTAAAAGTTGAGAGAATCCTAATAGGAAATCTAGAAGAAGATCCTTTTATATTAGGTTAGTGATTACTTGGATGCATATACCAATTCCCATGACAATAGGAGTTCTCAAGATTCTCTATTAATTAGAATATGGTTATAGAAACGTTTTTTGAGGGGCAAGTAGGTCATTCTCGATACGAGCGGACCTTATCTATTGTTTCGGTGCTTATTAGATTGACTTGTTTCGATAATACATTTAGTAACCAGACCATGTAGGTTATTAGAAAAGTATTGATCTAATCGTGTAAGGCTGATGGTCTAGAATTTGATCTAAGTTATCCTTTCTAAAGCTCTGTTAATCCCTCTAAGGTCGGTCTTCGTAGCTTCCCCCTCGTCAGATTATCTGAAAATCATGTTCCCACACAATTTACTAATTACAACCTCACATAAGCATATAAATCTTCTAATTGTGAATAGTCATTACTACTTATAATAATATCTTTAGACTTATAATATGCTTTTGGTAAGAGCATCCACAAAGAGGGTTCTATCCTCCTTGAGGCTATTATATTTGAAGCCCTAATAAGAAATTTCATCTCCAATTATCTGTAAAATGGAGCTACATCCACCACATGGGCTAGCAACTTCCTTTCTTGGGTAGCAAAAGTTAGGGCAATAATAAAATTTACTGTGTAATCATATTATTACATAAATAAATAAAGAGAATTGTTATTGGCACTCCAAACTTTTTATAACTAAAAAGAAAAATACACTTGTTGACACGCTTCAATCTCGATATCCCCAAATACCAGGATAGGCACGTGCTAGTCGATACCCGAGGGTGACGAAGCCATTTTAAACATGCATATAATAAGATAGGTAATTAGAAAGAAATATGTCAATGCGAAAATATGTTCAGAGCATACAACTAATCAAGGAATATATGAAATAATTACAATAAAACATATGAATAAAGGAGTGGGTCCTACGCAGAAAAGACTCGTAGATACCTACATAAAGATGCCCTGACATCGAAATTGAATGTCTCGATTTTAACTCCTGAAAGGGGCGCAAAACAAAAAAGTGAGTGGACCAAAGTTTATAATAATAATAATAATACTAATAATAAGAAAACCGTTTTATTTAAGAACATACTAACCCTCTGTTTTGAAAACATATAATACTACATATAGTAAGTTTTTTGAAAACTCTACGATGCCATGAAATCATTCGTAAAAACAAGTATAAGTAAAACAATGCTTAAATGGTGTTATCGTCGCCCAAAGGCAAATCCATAAATCTCATCACTACTGTACTCTCGAGGGGTATTATAGTCGCCCGAAGGTAGTACTTGTCCATCACCTGAAGTGAAGTTGTACGACACTGGTTCACGCTAGTGAAGAAACATTGGTAGGCCCCATCACTTGGATGTGAAGCTGTACAACTCTGGGTTACGCTAGAGAAGAAACATATTTATGTGTAGCATAACACAATGACACTAGTCGTGGCTAGTGAAGCTGTCCAACACTGGTTTGTCAGTGAAGCTGGGGGTATAACATAACTATCATCAACTGTGTCATATGGCCATAGACTACATACCTGTGTTGTGTGTATGTGTCATATGATAACCCACTAGATAATCACTGAAAACATATCTCAAAAACTCATGCCAAAACACCAAAGCTCAAAAGCTAAAAACCTCATCAAATAAATCCATGCTAATTCATATTCGTAAATCCACCGAATTTTACATATGAATCCAATAATTCATAACCTTTAGTAGAATGTAAATTCAATAAATCATAAATATTTCATAAAGTAATTTAAATAAATCATAAATTCTCTGCAAACCAAAAATATGGAAATTCGTAAAACATACTTTAAAATATGCTCAAATTATGAAATATGATATGCATGCAATCCTAAGATTTATAAAATATTCATTTGAGAAGGGATCCACTCACAGTTATTCCACTATCGAGAAGTCGCTCGAATGAGAGAGGACACCGATGCACCTAACCATAATTAGAGACCAATTAATCAAACTCTAGCAGAATGATAGAATTTAGAAAAACGGACAGCAGATTTGGATTCGGCACATCGAAAAACCTAAGGAGGGACATCAAGTTCCTCCATGCGCGCCATAGGGTGGCGACTCGAAAGGCCACCCGTGGGTCACTAGAAGTTGGTTGGAAAAATCGTCGATGCCATCGTGAACATCGGCGGAGGCGCGTGTGCTCCATTTGCTAGCCAGGGCAACGGCCATGAACGGCCCACGCCCTGACCATGGAACTGGGTATCAGACTTGGGTCGAGTCAGATTTGGGTCGAATCTGGGTTATGGGTCTGATGGGTTGGACCAGGTTGGGGTTATTGAGCCAAGGCTTTGGGCCAGGTTAATATGTTGGATTTTGGGTTGGATAACAGATTAGACTTGGGCCGAGATTTGAGTTACGGGTCAGATCGCCCCAATTGGGCTCACAGGTCACCGGACCTAACGAAAGAGAAAACTGGAATTTAAAGATTTTGGCCAAGAAACTTCCCCGGCTTCGTTTTGGGGTCAAATCTCCACCATTTCCAGTGATTAAAAATAAAACAAAGTGAAGCTAAGGAAGAGGAGAACAAGTATTTACCAACTTGAGGGCTGACCGTGGTCGGAACTGGCCAGAAATTGGCTTGTAAGCCGTCGAGTTTCGCTAGAAAAACTGAGGATAGAAAAGCATCCACGGACAAGGTTAAAACCTTCGATTTTAAACTCAAAATCACCCAAACAACCTAAACACATCGAACTCACCTCGGTTTCGTCGGATTCCAAGTTGAGTTGCTTAAGAAATGCTTATTCCGCCATGCATGCATGCCGACTACAATGTTGATAGGGACGAGAGGGAGGATATGGAGTGATGCTCTGGGGTGAAGTTGGCCTCTTGAGGCTTGATGGTCTCGGATTGGTTTGAGAGAAGAGAATGAGTGAGCTGAGAGGGAAGTGTCGAGCTAGGTGTGTGTGTGTGTGATGGAGAGAGAGAGGGAGAGAGAGAGAGAGAGAGGAGTGTTCTAGAGAGATGTCACGGGAGTGGAAAAAAAAAAGAACTATGGGCCCGGTTGAGGTGGGTCCCACACGTCAAAGCATGAACATCAACGAAAAAGAATCAACCGTTTCGTCAATAGAGGGTAATTTCATAAATTTACACAGTAATTTTTAATACAGGTTGTTGCACTTGTGAGGAGTGTAAAATGAGACTTGTTAAATATTTGGATGAACACTCATTATATACTTGTTAGCCATGTTTTCAGTATGTTTTAATATGTCATTTTATTTGACATTCATGTTCCTAATACAATTATGTACTTTTTTTAAGTATAAGTATGTATTTATTTATGTTATTTAATATATTTAATTCAAATTAAAAAAAAACTGCATGGGCCCGTCTCGAGGTCTAGACGTTAGGACCCTGCCTGATGCCCTATTAGTGCTTTTTAGAACCTTAGTTCCTCCATTTCAAATCTTTTCCTTTTGGGTATGGTTTAAATGTAAAGACTAAAAAGAAAAAGCATGTAATGCATAACACGAATTGCGTGTGTTATATTATGTTAGAATGTGAGCATATAATCCACGTAAACAATACATTAGGCGCCATTGGGCGCAACACTTGGACAATCTGATATTATATAAAAATAGTAAATTAACCAGCTTCCGAAAACCTTACAAGATGTACAATATGTGATTTATTCTAAGTAATATTACCATTAATTATTCCATTCCAGTGCCGATTCAGTGCATGCTTACCTACAATGCATGAATTTGTATGGAATGAATATCATTTTCATTCATATTATTTCGCACATTTACTAAGAATCAATTAATGAACAAGTAAGCGGGGCTTGAATTGATTTTGGGTATGAAATACCTGATTGGGATAACCAAAGGGCGGGATTGTTAACCCATACCCATTCATTCGAATCCTTTTAATTAAACACAAATAATATGGTTTGCAACTAAATCTGCAAAAGCCAGAGACCAAGCCATTCTTTCTAGAATACTGGTTCATGCGGTATCCTGCTAACAAACTTCACAATAAAATTGTAATGGCAAACATTTAAATGGGCTTTTTAGCCAAAATGGTCCTGAGATTTTTCATAACTCATCACTTTGTTTCCTGATATTTGAAATCAATAAAAATGACCTTTGAGTTTGTTCACCATCAATCATTTTGGCATGTCACCCAATTAGCCCCAACAACCAGAGAAAGAACTGTAAACGCAAATGCCGATGAGACCTAAGTATTTGGTTTCTTACCTTAAGATTTGATGCTGTAAGATAATCCACCAAACAAAAGTAACAAGGGAATGTAAAGGAAATGAAACCAGTTGGAGCCACCGTGAAGTTCTTTAACGGCCTTAAAAAAGTGGACATTTTCACAACAAAAGCAAAGTCCTGATACAGGAATTTTCATTTTCAAAAGCGTTCTAAGGCAAGAACATAAATCCGACGAATCGATTAGCATTCTACGAGCCAAAGGGCGAAAACCCTTCGGAACAAAGCACTAGAATCTACGAGATCCAGAAGTTAAATCACAACAGCAATACAACAGCTCAGTGCGAAAACTTAAAATCACTTGTGCTGCCCGCAGGAACAATTCTCAGTTCCTACATCAGCAGCAATACATGGAGGCTGAACTTTCTCGTCGTACCAAGTTGAGCGTTTTTCAACTAGTTCACTCAAGAAATCGTCCAACTTTTCGATGTTGACACTCGGCATCACCACAACATGCGCAATATTTCCTTGGCAAGCCAACTGCCACCTACGAACAAACTCTTCATCCTTAGGCCGCTCAAACACCACTGTGCTACTTAGCTCATTCAGCATGGCACTGATTCCAGCATCACGAAGGCGGCCCTTCAGGTAGTGAGCATTTCTAAGACACTTCTGGACTTCTTTTTGGAACCCCGAGTAACCTTTTTTGTTGAGCGTGTACCATAAGAAAATTGGAGCATGACCGTTCCGGCTTCCCATGATTGTGGCATCCCTCGAAGCTAGGTATTCTACATTCCTTGAAAGGGCATTAATGTGCTCCAGCCTTGTTATCTGAACACCACAAGGCATTGGACATCCAACAAACTTGTGACCAGAAACACTGACACTCCCAATGGGCTTCTTGAACGAAACTTTTGGTGCCTGTTCATCACCAAGCATAGTGATAAAAGGGAAAGCATTGATCCAAAACAGAAATGTGCATATCAAAATGAGGACGCAAAACCAAATATTACTACAGCTATTTCAGACTAGCTTTTTAAATACGAGCGGACTCTAATTCATCGTGCACTAACCAAGTTGGTAACAAACTTATCAAAGCAATTCATCTTCGAAGTCACAAGATGATTCACTAAAAGTAGACTATGCTCATTAATTAATCCTATCCAATCAAAGATATCACTCGTATCAGTGTTGCTCAACTAGCCTAAATATGAAAAAGATTATAAACAGTCAAGAGCCAAATCAAGGCTCTCATTCTCGAATCTTGAAAGAAGATCAATCATATGAGCAGGCTTTCATGAGCTTAAAACATTAGCAACAACACCATCCCCAACAAAATTGTAACGAGAAAACTCGGTACGAAACGCAAAAACAGTTTGGTACCAAAGCAATTAAAGGGAATAAGCATAAGAGACATGTTCCTATCCACAACAAGAAGAATTGAAATAAGTTGACAGACATACACGTTTGACAAAAGGCATCATAAGTCCAAATAATGCTCCATCGCAGTGAATATAGAAACGATCTTGCTTGTATCCACATTCTTCAAGGGTCCGTATGATGAGATCCAGGTCGTCAACAGCTCCTTTGACAGTTGTTCCTGCAATTCAAGCAATTCAGTAAACCAACCAACCAATCCGAGTACGGAAGCGCACATAATATACGGTTGAGTTCAATTTGTGTCAATGTGTGTCTCAACTCTTACACATACCAATATTAACGTTGATGATGGCGGGTTTATCCTGGTGAGCAAGAAGTTTAGTTTTAAAATCCGCACAATCAATCTCACCAGAGATCAGACAATCAATCTTTTCGCATTCCATTCTATACATTCTGGCAGCTTTAAATATCGAATAATGCGATTCTCGAGAAGCATACAGAATCCCATCTGGAAATACTTCTCTCCTGCAAGAATTCAATTGCATTATACATCACATCCAATTGCTTTAGCTCCGTCATTACTCATTAGCATATGTGCTGATAAATTAAGAGCAGATTCACACAAACAATTAATCAAACACTTAACATACCCAACTAAGACTCCGTGAAGATTGCCTTCCGTGCCGCAATTGGTGATGTACCCCCAATACTCATTCTTCTCAATCTCCCACAACCGAGCAAACCAATCGAGAACACCGACCTCGAACTGCCTTGAATGGACACCGTAGTTGCTCTCGATAAACGGATCGCCCAAATTGTTGATGGAGAAATGCTGAAGCTGCGTCAGAGCACCATAGTCGAAGTCCAAATTGTACGGATAACCTGCATTTCCAATTCCAATCAAAACCCACAATTCAGATTCAATATTTTTGCTTCGATTCCAAATTTCAATCGAAAAAACGCACAAAAAAAAAAAGCTTACCCAGATGGTGCTTGGTCCTCTCGATAAGGGTTTTGCGGTAGCGCGCGAGGACACTGGCCATGTACGCCTCCTTATCGCCGGTGAAATCGTCATTGGATTCGGGCTCCGTCACGGCGAGGCACGTGGTGTGCACGTTCCGGCCGAGAACCATCTGTTTCTCCCGGCTACCTTTGTGGTCTTCGGCCAATTTTCCGAGGAGATCGCAGTCGTCGGTGCTGGTTACAACCGGAGGCAAAGGCTCCGCAACCACAGCCGTGGGATCGAAATCATCGGATAGCATCTCCACCGCCACAGCTCCGTTCTCGTGATCCATGGATTTTGTAATGTTGAAAGATCGAACGGTCGAGAGTTGGCCGAGCTGCAACACAAAGCAGGAGGCGGAAGGAGAGTTCAGAGAAAGAGAGGAGAAAGCGTTGGTTTCTATTTATAGTATTATTTTTCTGAATTTCTGGCGGTTCTGGTTTTGCAATAAATATCGACGACATTTAGAGAATTTTGTCCTCTGAATTTTTGCCACGTATGAAATAATCAGTATGCCTACTTTTATGTTTGCTTACTTATTAAGTTTCAGACCAAAAAGAACAAAAATAGCGTGTGGAATACATCGTAAATCGGTCGATAGATATGCACGTGATGATGCTCTGATCAAATTTCACATGATAGTATCATGTATGTGAATCCAAAAAAACCTCCCAAACAAATGTTTATTAGGCCATCTCCAACCGATGGTTGGTCAAAAGACTTGTTTTAACTCTCTGGTCTTCCAAGATTCTTCAAGATATTAGTATTTTAATGAACAGTACATGACCATACTTGCTTCTGTCTCCAACCGAGGGCCTAAGGGTCAAAGGACTCGTTTTAGCCCTATCACAAAAAACCACCTCCAACTGAGGATCATATGACCAAACATAATTTATTATTTAAAAACTACAACTTAAAGGTTGTTTAAGTTTCATGTTGTTAAATGTTTTTTTTAACAAATATGAAAAACTAGAAATGTTTTTAATAATTTGTTAAAAACTACAAATTTTGTAAAATAAAAGTTACAGGGAAAAAATAGAATTTAAAAAAAATGAAAAATAGAAGTTATAGGAAAATTTTCGTAAAAAAAAATAATAATCAAACTGTAAAAAAAAAAATTCAAATCAATCCTAACGGTTAAAATTGACAGGAATACATTTATACTAAATAATATGAATGTATTCCTGTCGGTTAAAACCGACAGGATTGATTTGAATTATGGCCAGCCTCGGGCTGGCTAGCTGGCTGCATGCAGCCGGCCCTCCAGCCCTCTCCGATTTAATGGGGCATTCTCATCTTCCACAGCCCTCTGGCCTAGCTCTCGGTTGGAGACGGTTTTCGGGCTATTTTCAGCCCTTTAGACCCTTCAGTTGAAGA